ATAAAATAGCAACATTTAAAATTTAAATAAACAAGAATCAGATATAAAGTAGCAACTAAATTACCATCTTTTAACATCAACTTAGTACAGTCTTAATCGACATTAAACAAAGTGCTTTTTTAGACTTAGTGATAAAGCAGAAACAGCAGAAACTTGATTTAATCAAAGTTTAATTAACAAAGAAACCTTTTGAACTAAAGTTTACGATATTTGCATTACAACTGCTTCCGTGGCCGAACGGTTACCATGCCGGACTGCCACGCAGAGGTCCTAGGTTCGATTCCCGGGCCGGGAGAAATATTTGTATGGCCTACATTTATTTCTCTCGTGAGTTTGGGTGTAATTTGTGTTTGTCTATGTATGTGTCCATGGCACCCGCGACACAGGGTTTCCCTAGTGCCCTATGATGAGTGTGTGCGTTATTATTATTATTATTATAAAATCTATCGCGAAACATTCGACAAAACTTGTATTTGTAGGAAATCAAAACAAATGAAAAAAATATTTTATAATATTTTATAAGACGACTTATTTCTGTATTTTCAAATTAGACCTTAAATAAAAAGATTTTACAAGTGTTACCCTAAACGTGGCGGTGTGTGTAGAACCTGCGTCTTGTTTTTAAATAAGATCACATTTTAAATGGAAATAAAGAAATCCATACTACGCATGTGACTATTCACAAGAATTGAACAACAAAAGGAGCAGTACCCAAGGGGGATATTCGCGCACATTGAGAGCATTGAGTGTGCAATTTGATGACGTAACTTTGAACATTTACGAAGCTAATGGAGTATTGATAGACATTGGTTTTGTACTCGGCAGAAAACTACCAAAATAAAACCTGGCAACATATTGTTGACCTTGAATTTGTAGCAGAATTTTTGCATTAAAATTCTGATAAACTTGGCATCATGCCTTTAAAAAATTATATTTAAGTATACTATATGTATATACTAAATAAATAATGAATAAATAACGCACACACTCATTCTATAATGAGTGTGTGCGTTATTTATTCATGCGGGGTTATCCCCGCACAAGGGAAACCCTGTATCGCGGATGCAATGGAACACACATAGACAACCACAAATTACACCCAAACTCACGAGAGAAATAAATGTAGGCCATACAACTATTTCTCCCGGCCCGGGAATCAAACCTGGGACCTCAGCGTGGCAGTCCGGCATGGTAACCGTTCGGCCACGGAGGCAGTTACTGACCGATACAAATACTGTTCGCTCGTATGCATGCACTCTTGCACCGCGCACGCACATACACACTAACGCACGCATGCATGCACGCACTCACGCACGCCCGCACGTACATGCACAATAAATCACATAAAACACAAAATAAATATGGATTAAACTAACAATTTTGTTACAACGTAAATTGAAACACTCATTCCAGAGTTATCCGGAGTGAGGCTACAATAACTGCAGAGCTGTGACACGGTCTTATTGACTATACTGTAGTTATTATCGAATACATATCAGGTAAATCTAGCTAACATTTTGTTTATTATTTATTACTGACAGTATTGTAAATAGGCACTGTGTTTGTAACAAATCAGCCTGTCTGTAGTGTTCAGTCATTAACTTATTCAGGCATCTTTCAGCCAGTAAATAGTTATTTGTTACGCAAGGTTGCAAAGCTTGCTTGTCGCTAGTGCTTTTATTGAAATCTGACGCAAGCGAAGGAGGTCAAGATACAAAAAAAGATTCATGAGCGTAGCGAGGGTTTTAGGCACGAGATGCAAAACAACTTTGCTACCGAGCGAAACACATAACATTTCACCTCATTACAGCGAGGAAAATGGTAGATTAAAGAAAAATAGTTGAACTAAAACATCACTAAAACCATTGACTTACAAATAAATAGACGACGGCTCTAATACAAAAACCACGAAAAAAATGTCCCCAGTCAACCTATTCGAAATTTAAATTGTAATGTCATCGCAGTATCGCGCTGTCAGTAGAACAAATGAAGACTAAAGCGGAGTGTCGCGCTCCGTATACGATTTTAGCGCCTTACAAGTGCGAACACTTTTTAGCGCGGACCCGACGTCCATAAAATTGTAAGTCAATGACTAAAACATAAATTTTATCTTCGGATGCGTTCTGAATATACATCTCATCAATTTTTATTCTTGCTTGTACTTTTATTTTATGTGAAGTGATTATTTTAGTTCTTCGACGGATTAAATTATTTTAATAAAAACAATTAGTTATCATTGTCAATTTAATGTCAACAACAATAACAATAAAATATACCAACGGATTTATATTATATACAAAATTAATGTACAACACAACAAATCGCGTAGTGGAACGAGTCATTATCTTTTTTATTCATCGAAAGAAAAAATTAGGTGCACCACAGTCCATCGACAAGTACGAATTTCAAAAACCTTTTCCACTTAGTGTGCAAAAAACGCTTTTGCGCGCAGATTTCTAATGAGAAAGGAAGCTTTTCCGAGCTAGTGAGGTGAAATATATATATATACCTTAAACGCCCATATTAGTTCGCACGCAAGTTTTTAATATATGTGCATTATCATTGTTGTAAAAGGTTTAGTGATAGACAACATATCTTTATTAGGTCGAAATGTCACTGTGATAAAAATTACATAATAAATAAATACACCATATCAACAAAATCACAAAAACAAAAATATTACCAATAATGTAACTTATTTTCAATATTACTTTATCTGTTTTGATTTTATTTTCAAAGTAAACTTTTTATTAGCACGAAGTTCAGCATGATTTTGTGAAATCTATAAAGCAATGAATTCTAAAACTCAATTTACACCGTCTTTACGAGTTTGCACGTTATAATGGGCTGGCATTTCAGACAAAGTTTGCGAAAATCAACAAATAAGATCGTTTAGGGAACGTTTAAATGCTTTAACCGTTGGTAAATCAGAAATACAATGAAAATTAAGGGTTCATAGCCAAGCAAAATTTATATGAAAATATTTACATAAAAATTACATGTTACTAGTAGAGATGACTCGCAACAAACAAGTCTTTTTATAGGTGTATTTTTTGAGATGACTCCTCTTATGATATTTGGTATTTTAATACATAATAATAACTTTTGATAAATTTAGTCGTTACTTTTGCAGAACTCCGTTAATAAACGGTTTAAAAAACGGAACCTTCACTGGGTTCACGGAGTAGCAAATTAATTTACTGCCATTTTTACTAACCCTTTTGATGCTACACGTAAAGTAAAAGAAGAAAATAGTTACAATACACACATAGCTTCAAACCTCTTAGTGTCAAGCCCGGTATTATCTCACAATTTTTCATATCAAATTTAAATATTTCCTACAAGCCACGACGTTTCACAATTTATACCACTCGCATCAGATTGCGGCAATTTTTCCTTTGAGCTAATGAGAGAGGAAAAAGCGTGTGTAAACCCCTATGAAGGCCCTTGAATGTGGTTCGTTTCACAATTTAACGAGTTAGCCCAAAGGTGTTCTGTTGGCAGAGCTACTGTCTGTCTTTGAAATATATTCTCTGAAGTTAGATTCCATAGGGTGCGAACTCGCGCACTCGCGCTGCTTGATAGCGGCGGCGGCGGCAGCAAAAAGCAATGGAACCTACGTTCTTTCCTGCTTTAATGTTCTACGGCGCGCCCGGTGTGTAGTGTGTAGATTTATACAACATAAAACCGCGCCCCAGATCCGCTTCAGATTGCAAACCACATTCAAAGAAAACAAACGCCTGTTTCCAACTTTTGTATGTTAAATGGGCATAGTATAAAGATTTTCATTTGTTATGTTACCATTAGTAGCGGCAGAGTTCCTTGTGAAAGAGTTCGTCCAGGGAAATGTTTTTTTGTTCGTTCGGTTTTGAAAGGTAAGGGTGCTGGTGAAATTGCAGGCACATGGAACTTATCAACTTATGTCTCAGGGTGACGGGTGTAGTGACAGTGCCGCTCAGATCTTTGGCGCACGACTTGTTCGTCTCGTCAATTGCTATCATAAAAAAATTATAAATTCAAATAAAATCTAGAGCTAGTTTAAGTTAAACAAGTGGTAAATGTATCACAGGTGCTCAATTATTCAAGGAACTTATTGTGTTTGGTACTTTTTTAAATTAATACTTCTTGATAAAAACGTCTATGGTCTAGATATTTAACGTATTAACAGAGGTAAATCAGTTTTAAATTTTTAATTAACAACGACGTGGGCAAATATTATTACCACTCTCTAAATATGTGATATTTGTCCTACGGCGTAGAGAATTGTACGACGGCAATTCGAGATTATCCATATTGCATTTCTGCTATGAGAAAATGAGAATAAGGATTTCTTGGAATATTGCAGAAAGAAAACAGAAAATCTCTTCTTCAAAACTAGTGTCTATGCAACAATATTGCTTGAATGAATAATAAGGAACTATGATCACGACATTTCCATAGACTTTTGGCCTCAAAACTAATATGTATTTCTAGGAACGATTGCTTTAATGGATTTACTAATGCGGAAAATACACGCTCGCCATCTTAGCGAACGTGGAGTAACGAAATTCGGAGTTGGACAGGCTTTTATTAACTCTTACGTAAATTACCACCACAACTAACAGTGTATTACTAAAGACAAACTCAAAATGTCTATATTACCACAAGTCTCATTGCAATGATGTAATGGGCACTTCCACTGCGCCCGTCACCCTGAGACATAAGTTGACAAATCTCACGTGCCTGTAATTTCACCATCACTTTACCCTTTAAAACAGGAATGCCGTAATGCTCACATTACTGCTTGACGGCAGAAATAGGTAAAGTGGGCAAACTCGTCCACAAGGAGCTGTAGTGCTACTGAATTTTCTTCAATTAAAATTAGGCAGGAAGATTCCAGTAAGAAGAACATAATAAACCCATTAGATTATCGTATTATCGATGATATATTTAGTATTTAAAATCAAGACAAAGGTAGATTCTGCCTCTAAGTTGTATAAACAATTGAAAAAGATACTTACATGAGTAAAGTAGTAATAATACACGTCGACACCAGCGTCGGCGAGAATCTCAGCGAAGTAGTTGGTGGGGCAGACGAAGAAATAATCCCCGACTATGTCTGATATCATCTTCTGGTTCAGATAGCCGTCTGTTATCTCCTCCCAATCTGTGTACTGCAAATTTCATAAGTATTTCTGATTAATTGGAATTTATAGGTATGCTAAGACTGAGAATTATATTTTGATCTTCAACATGTTGCGAAATTATAAAGAACTAATTTCATCTGCAGATATCATGAACACTTTTAAAATGTCAACAATAGCGCTGTCATTTCAGGGTGTAAATGTGAGTTGTTATGTATTTATTTTATCTATTTCTAAATACAGTGTATGTGCCTATGTATGAACTTACAAAAATTGACAATTGAAATGAACTCGTGCCCAGTAATTGGATTAATAATGGGTCGAGGATGATTAAAATGAAACAAGTTCGGCTATTTATTGCATAAGCATGACCAACATTCAGTCGATAGTCGATAGAATATTTATCGACTGCATTGCTAGCTGCTCGCAAGCGGACAACACTTTTGCATAATGATCTGTCATTTTACTCCGTCTTCAAAAAAGACGGACTATACTGACCCAAATGTTTGTAATAGTGACTACAGTAAGCTGCCCATACTATCCAAAACATGAACAAAACAATAAACAACTTTACACTAGCATAAAATCATTTTCCAAGATTTAAATGCATATTTTAAGTTATTATACCACTTCTTTTTCGTTTAAATGAACTGCCTTGAACATGCTGAAAATGAAAGTATCATTTGTTTTCGATATCTTTGCTAATACTGAATTAATGGTTAAAGACAGAGGTGGGAGTACATTCTGTTCCTTTTTAGCAAAACGATCATTATTATGTAGTTAGTATGGCGCCATTATGGTTGTAACGAAACAAACAACATGTTGACGTTTCTTTCTAGCGCCTGATTTTTTAACGCGTGTCACTATTTTACTTTGCAATCAATTTCCGTCTTATATCTTATTATTATGTAAAACAATACGCGCTTCTCGTTAATACTTATCTACCCACATAAAGACCACAAGTCACAAAGCATGCAATTGTGTCAATGATAAATTGAGGTTTTTGGGTTCTAAGATTTGCGTTATAAGATTACAATCTTATAACTTAATAATACAAGAATTATTGCATTGTATAATGTTATTAAACTCTTGTGAAAGTAACCTTCAAACCTTATTATTAAAGGCACATAATTCACAGTTGCATAATGTAAAGATATGCAATTGTAAAAGAAATCGCAGTCATTGATTGCTACGCACTGAAACATTCATACATTTCTATATCCGCTTACAGGAAGTACGTGGGCCGCACTATAAGTTTCCGGAATGAATAAGAAAAAAATACTATAAATGAATTTGAATTTATTGCTTCTCAAAATATTCTCCGTTAGCGTTAATGCACTTTTTCACACGAATGAACCAATTTTGAAAACATTTATGCCACTCCTCCGTAACAATCCCTGAAACATATTTTTCATACACTTCGAGAGCATCTTCAGGTGATGAAAATCGTTGTTGGTTCTTAATTTTTGGAAATAAATAAAAGTCAAAACACAAGGTGCCAGGTCGGGACTGTACGCGGGATGGCTCATACGGTCAACGTTGTTCACCTTCAAAAATTCGTTAGTCCGTCTGGCCGTGTGAGAACTAGCATTATCGTGGTATTGATGATACGGCGTTTACGATTATTTTTACGGAGTTTGTCAATAAGTTCCGGCAAACAAATGGTCGTGTACCAATCACTATTCACGGTACAAAAATTCTCCAAAGCAACAGTAGCCACGTGTCCAGTTTTATTAAAAAAAGAAGCAATCATCCGCTTAAAGGCACTTTGCACGCGCGCCACTTTGGTTGGTTTCGGCTCATCTCGAAACACCCATACGCTCGATTTCTGCTTTGTTTTGGGATCGTAACTATAAATCCACGTTTCGTCACCTGTCACTATGTCCCGCACCAAATTTGACGTCCCTTCGTTCAATCTGGTAAACATGGCATTGCACCAAGTGACGCGATCCTTTTTTTGAGCCTCAGTCAAATTGTGTGGGATCCACCGAGAGCACAGCTTTTTCCCACCCAAATGTTTGTGTAATATTGATTGTATTTGACTCATGCCTACGCCTGGAGATGCCCAAATCTCATGGTATGTCACATGCCTGTCTCTTTTGATCATACGGCGCACATCATCGATGTTTTTGTTGTTCACAGCAGTGGACGGGCGACCATCACGAAAGTCGTCACTGAGATTCACACGGCCGCGTTTTGTATTCTGCAAACCAGCTATAAATAGTCTTGCATGGGGCTTCATCGTCAAAAGCAGTTTGAAGCCGAGCGAAGCTCCGCTGAGCTGTTAAATTACACTTAAAGTCGTAGAAATCATACTACCAAAATTTTCACTAGTTAAATCCATGACGATGTAGACAACCAATTTCTAAAATGACGCTATAATGTAAAAACAAGTGACAGTCAGATGAAACTGTATTCTACAGCCAAAGAGTTCCATTTCCAAATGTTGTAATTACTTTTTAAATATTATTTATGTAAGTGGCCAGTTCCGGAAACTTATACTGCGCCATATGTAAAAAATATCAGTCGACCTACATTTACATTATATATATGTGTCTACTATTTTTAGACAACCTCGGTAGCACAACGGTTTGCACGGTGGGCGCCGGATGTGGAGGTCCTGGTTTCAATTCCCGGTAGACAAATTTGGGCAATTAACTATTTTATATTGATTCTGGTTGGTTATTCGCGTGGTGAATTCCAGTACTATAGTACTCATAGTCTAATCTCTAATTTGAGACCAAGTACTTGGTGTGGTTACCTTATATATTACTAATATTATTTTGGCTATCTATTTTAGACTCGCCTCTCTCATGGCCTAAAAGATTAATTTAGAGTTTTTAAATTTTTAATTGAGAGAGGTGGTATGCCCCGGCAATAGCACAGTCGACCGGGGTCAGGGATTCAGGTTCAAGAACCAGGAAACAATAAGAGTCCTGGCGAGCAGGATCGCTTTCTGTATTTATTATTATTATTATTACAGAAACGCTATGATAGAGATACTTAATGGGAGAGCTCTGTTATGATTTTAATAAGGTTTTGTAAATATAAATATCATAAACCTTCTCCTACTCCTCATATACCATACTGGACTATCCTTCATGACCTTTAGTAGTCTATCAAATTGACTGCCTCCGTGGCTGGGCTGCCACGTAGAGGTCCCGGGTGCAAGTCCCGGACTGGGAGTAATATTTGTATGGCGTCCATTTATTTCTCTCGTGAGTTTGTGTGTAATTTGTGGTTGTGTGTTTGGCCATGACACCCGCGATACTGAGTCTTCTTAGTGCGGGGCTATGAGTGTGTACATTATTTTTTACAATATCGAGTTCCTACAATACAATATTTCACATATTGGATAGAAAATTACCTGAAATACAATGGCTTCTCTTTTTATCTTGGAAAAATCTTTAAAGATTGTATCGACGATTTCTAAGAACTTTTCGCGTTGTAGAAAACTTGGCCCGTCTTTCTCGAAGTAATCCAGAAAATCGTATAAGAGAAAGTAGGTGCCTGAAAAAAATAACATGTTAGTGAAATATTATTATGAGAGCGTTGTGGTATGAAGTATGAAATAGTGACCAGGACAAGGGAATGCTTCGATGGTTTGGTCATTTAGAAAAAAAATATGTTTTTTTATTATATCAAGTGATGGAACGAACAAGTCATGCGCCTGGTGTTAAGCGACACGCCTGTCCATAACAGTTACAGTGCCACTCAGGGCTTTAAATCGCAAAGATCTGAGGGGCACTGCCACTGTGCCTGTCACCCTGAGACATAAGTTAACAACTGTTTTCGCGTGGTCTGCCCAGTTACCACGCCTTCTTGAACATTAATGACGTATCTGAATTCTATAGTCTAAGCAACAACATTTAAATTCCTCTGAATAATAACAACGGTGCGGTCGCCGCGTAGACCAAATTCAAGCCAGTCTCTCCCGCGTGCCCGGGACGCTCATTTAAGTTAAAACGTAAAAGCTAAATGAATAGAACATATTTTGCCATGACTGTTAGACGCTCGAAGTCGCTGCGCGACGGCAACGCGGATTCCACTCGGCGACCGCGCGGCGGCCGCATGGGGTGAGCGCTATGAAATTCGTGTCGCATAAATGCGGCCTAACCCTTCAAAATAAAAAGGTGATAAAAAGGTAGGCGTTTTAGACAAATACGTTTCATTATTTAGACAATATCCTTAGGTGTATCGTATATTTTTCGTAAGACAATTATTTAATAGTAAATATCTAAATCATTTGATCTAGCAAAACAGTTTTTACCGCTTGTCCTACGGTGACTTGGCTTCAAGCAAATGGCCATTGTGGACAGGACAACCGCACATATTTTATATTTAATTAAGAAATCTAATGTTATGAATAAAAAATGTTATGCGGGTGGATGAAAATTCCACCGCCGAGATGGATATGTAAACACCGCATCACCAGTCAGCCCGTGACCACGGCCAGTGCAACCTGGCCGAAACGTCGGGAAACTAGGTAGGTGTGGAAAAATACCTATTCGTATGTAAACGCGTTTATTCACGTTTCCAAACGTTAGTTAAATAATAAGGTTGAAGAAAATTAATATTTCCAATAAACAATAGCGTATCTTTCTTGCCACTGTTATTAATGTATCACTTACACTTGCGGCTTTTTATTGTTGAAAATCTACGATGTCATACTAACATAAACACCTGATAGCAACCAACATTTATGGTAGTGACGTCTTGAAAAAAGTTTTAACAAATATCCAATCTCGTTAGCAAAGTTCATTAGATCTAAATCAATACGCATTGGCCAGTTGATTTGCTGCCCCTTAAAGCTTGCAGCTGCATGCTATAGTTTATATTTGCCCCTACCTAAATTCAGGAGTAACAATTCTATATAACACGTTTTGCATTTCTGGGTTATCAATGTGTGGCTTGAAAGAGGATGTGGTGACTAGAATAGAGAAAGGAATGTTAAGGTGGTTTGGGCATGGAGAGCGGATGGATGTAAGAAGAATTACCAAACAGATTTATGATGGGAATGTGGATGAAACGGTTTTAAGAGGACGTCTCAGAAGTACTTACATTGGTCAGATCAGTGATGTCCTCAAAAAAGCTGGGATCCGAAGTAACAAGAATAAAAGAAGTTGTATGAAAAGGGTAGTTGATATATGTGAGACTCGAGAGTTGTGTTAGGATAGAGCAAAGTGGCGTTCCATGGTAGAGACCACGGAACGCCACTTTGCTCACACGGTAGGCAGAGGCCTACACCTCCTGTGGGATTAGGGCATGAGCATTTCTGGGTTATCAATATCATTTTCTAAAAGGTTCTAACAAAAAAGCATGAAAAATTTCCCTGCAAAAATTTTCTTTTGTGCCCAAGACAACGAAAAATTGAAAATTGCTTACCATATAACGTTTACATTTTCGGGGTTCTCATAATTTAAAGACAAAATGGAGCATTATATTTCATATCAATAGTATTATCCTATAGATGATAGGCTTACAGGTGACTCGGTATTAGTTAGTATTCTACAGGACATATCACGGAGAGTGTGTGATGGAATTGTATAATTTGATTCCGCCTTCCCCTTTCCATCATCGGGGAACTAGACGTGGGCTGGGGTTCCACCCCTATGTTGTGGATATTCCCAGGATTCGCACGAAGAGTATCGCTCCCACAGTTATGTGGCGAGCGGCTAGAGAGTAGAGTTCCCTATCTGCGGACTTATTCCCTAAACGCTATAACTTAGAACTTTTCAAAGCGAGAATAAATAGGCATTATTTAGATGTGTATGCTACATCGTTCGTTTTGTTCTCTACACAATTGCTGCTCTTTTAAATTAAACTGAAACCAATACTGCCTAATCAGAAATGAACCTTTTTGAAAATTTGTTACATAGAATAAGGTAAATATAACTGTTAATGAATATGAGTAAGGTAATTGGACTAACATTTCTTTTTCTCTTCTATAAAACTTGAGTGTACAATTCGAAAGTACATTTACATTTCATCTACACCTCGCGAAGCTATATTATGCTATATATGTATAAGACAAGCGAGTCTAACGAACTAGATGCCGCGTCCTAATCGGGGCAACAAACCGACAAGCTGCTTGCTTGTTAGTGCCATTGTTTATCCACTACTGCTACAGAGTAGTCTTATATATTTGTATTTTATACGACGGGGTAGAGACGACAAGATTTAGAATTACGTCTGGATTCCAGGATTCAATAACTCCACCATGTTCGTCGTAGATAATTATAGTTCTATGTCGCAAACCTAAGTATTGATACCAAGTTGTTCTTACATCTTCTGAGATTTACATAGATACATAGAATTACATACAATGTAAGAAGTGTACCTTACTTGTTCTTACTTGTACTTCTTAAAACTGTAAAAATATCGAGTAATTTGTTTTCTAAGTAACGTGGATTTATACAACTTAACATTACCACTAATATTTCAGGAAATATAAGGTGAAAGCAAAAAGCGAATTTCAGACAAAAAAATCCCGAAAACTCGTGGTAAAGAGCAGGTGTTTTCAAACTTGTTTTCTTCGACATTGAATACCTATCTAAGGGAAAATTTATTGTTTCTATCAAGGATATTTTACCGAAAATAAAATCTGTTCCGTAACGGTTAAAAAGAAGTTATTGTCAATAATTAGATTTCTTCTATTAATAACATTATCGATTAATCGCTTCTGTTAATCAAATTATAAAAGGAAACTTCAGCTAAATTACTTTTAATTTTAATTACTATAACTGTAGTAATTTTAATTTAGAATACCTGCTTTTCATCATCTATTCCGAAAGAAGGGAAAATTTAAAATTTACGTAGAAAAAAGCTAATACCAAGAGAAAAGCGCATGATGAAATGATTCGTCACTCAAACGATGGTTTGCATTTGTCACCGACATAATGCTATTGATAGTACCACTACCTTGAGGTGGAGCTCATAATTAATCAGCAAATGACCCGACAAGATCTAAAGCAATCATGTCCTGTCGAATGCAGTCGACAAAATGCGACCTGCCACGAAACCACTTTGAACACATTCAGGGTACAGACAGTACAGACACGTAGATGGTCCAATTTCAATGAACTCTGAACTTTGACATAATGGACTGTTGGAGTCCTGACAAACGAGCTAGTAATCTACGTCATCCTATACTTATCATGGCAAAATCAACGAGCTATGTAATTAACAACCTTACAACCTCGTAGAACTTAAAACAATACTTTTAGTTGTCCTTGACTTAGGTCGAATTTTCCACTATTTAAAACTTTGTTCTATTCCCAAAGAACAACAAAGAAAAACGAGTATCCATGATAATTTCTTTCATAATGTAAGAATTTCCTGGAAAAGAAGCGAAGAGTCATAATAATTTTCAAAAGATATCCTGCATAATCTCAAATAACAGCAAAATCCCCTAGACACGCAGACGAATGGCAACCCTAATTTCACATTTATTCTCATAAGGCCAGAGGTCAAGTTTCGTCTGTGGCTATCGTCACGATAAGCCGAACGACAGTGTTGTGTTTGACCTTCATTAAACTACCGTGTGTGCATTGCTGTTGTATTGTAGCTAGTGTGCTTTATCGACTTTCGAGAATATTCTATTAAATTCGTTATTTTTCTTCAAACTCTTGTACGTCCAAATTACATCTAACTAATTATTTATTATAATTCAATGAATAAACCACAACTCATAACATGGTATTACTAATGATAATTGTAAACACTTAATTCCCTCTTTATCGAAGTTACGAGGTTATCCAAATGAAATGAAATTTCGAAATAATGAATTATACCTAACTCAAGCGAAATTACATCACATTTTCTAATTCGTATTAATTTATTCCGACTTCAAAGGTAAATGAAATCACAATTCCTGCATTTGAAATGGTTGATTGCGAGCCTGATTCACGGCAAGAGACAGTGGGAAGCTCTCGGAAAATTTAAATACGTATCGTTTCTTCCTCCTTCTTTTACTGCTTTTGCGCTGTTGCGAGATTCATGAGTTCTCTAGAGAATATCGGGTACGATACGGATGTCAATGCTGTAAAAATCTGTACAGTATATGTAAATATAAACCTAATATTTGTACTTGTTTTTTGTCTCATCCATCACACTAATGTTATATTTCACCTTACTTACAGTCCGTAATTAAAAAGCTAGTACAATTACGTTACGTATTTCTGTATGCACTAAATAAGCTGTTCATTCCCTAAAACCTACACATATTGTGTTATCATATTATATTCACGTTACTTGTATTCCGTAATTAAAAAGCTAATACAATTTATCGAGTTCTTAGGTTTTCGCGATTGTTACACATAGGAATGAAACTATTTTTCCGGATTTAAATCGCGTATATTTGTTTTTTCAAACAAACCGACGTTTCGGGCCCTTTACAGGTCCCATGGTCACGGTTGACTGAGTGACTTGAGTGTGATTTATTTTGAGTGAATTTGAGTCTATTCTAATCCATGCGCTATCATGTGTGCCTCAAGGATCAAGTCTTGGCC